TGATGCCACAGAGGTAGCGGTTGATGGTTCTGTCTGCCGGCAGCTTTGGCCTCGGTCTCACTCACAGCAGCCAAGGAAAAAAAAAAACAAAACAGAAGAGGAGAAAAGAGTGGAGCCGAGGCTGAACCTGCCCCCCTCCCTCCCTCACCCCCCACCCTGTCTGCTGCTGCCACTGTGGACCAGGAAAACACACACACACACTTCTCCTCACACGTCAACCTCTGCGTTTACATCCACCTATACATTATTATTTAAATTTATTACTGAGACGTTTACAGGGAAATACAGGCTGGAATTTAGTTTCAAAAAGATTCAAAGGTCCAGTTATTGTGAATAAATAGAAATGACAACATCTGTCTGAGGACTTTCTGACTGACCCCTCTCTAATACCCCCACCTCTGTTTATATAAATGTTAATAATAACTATGAATTATTTGAAGTGAATTCTCACTGGTCTGATGGTGTCTGTGTTTTTTTTTTATCTTAAAGATTCAGTTTCAGATTTTAGAGTTTTATTGTTTATTTTCTTAATATTCTGACTGTGGCTCAGTGGAGATGTCTGAGTGTTAACGTCACGTGTCTGACCCTCAGTTAGAAAACCTGATGCTGGACAAAGACGGCCACATCAAGATCACAGATTTTGGCCTGTGTAAGGAGGGAATCACCGACACGGCCACCATGAAGACCTTCTGTGGGACCCCGGAGTACCTGGCTCCTGAGGTGACGCTCCTCCTCCTCCTCCTCCTCCTTCTCCTCCTCCTCCTTCTCCTTCTTCTCCTCCTCCTCTTCCTCATTATTATAATTATATATTTATTTAAGTTTATGTCTCTCCCTGTTGATTTTCCCTGACGTGACTTCATCACAGCTGTTAGTTTTCTGTTAGATTTTAGTTTTGGGTTTTTTTTTTTTGGACTAAATTAAATATTAACGTAACCTCTGGTCCAGTAAAGTTACTTTAATTTTTTTAATCCTAATTAAGAAAAACACATTTTGTGACGATGGACAGTTTTGACATGAAAATAAAACTACAAAGTAAAGCACTGTTACAGGGTAAAATTTATATAAACATGTATTTATACTAATATATATCTATAGATATATATTAATATATATATCTATTGTATATAGAGTAGTATAAATACATTATATGTAGTAATATAATTTTATTCTGTCTGATCTGACAAACAGATACAGTACATTTGCAGTACAGTGTTGTTTAAACTTGGCCACATTTGATGTTTATTTTTTATTACAATAATTATAATTGTTATTATATAAATATATCATAAATATACAGTTATAATTTAGTTTTAGTTTCTTTGTCGTTAGCAGAGTTTCATTTCTGTCTCCTTTACCGTAGAGACTTCAGAAATATATATTTTGTCTTCTGGAAAAAATGCACATTAAATTAGTTAAACATTAAGGATATTTTGTCACATTTTTAAAATAATAATATTTATATTTATATAGTGCTTTAATTATGAGAAACTACATGTTTTGATTTAAATACATTTCATTAATTAATTGATGTTGGATGAAAAGTAAATGTGTTTCTTATTAGAATGAATGTGTGTGTGTGTGTGTGTGTCGGGGGAATTTAAAAAGACAACACACACACACACACACACACGTCCCTGTGATAATTACTTTTGACCGTCGTCCTCTGTATTTGACGCGGCTTCACTCGGATCTCGAGGCTGCGGTGCTGCAGGACAGTGGGTGGAGGAGAGGGTGGAGATGAAGCCGTGGTGCTGGTGCTGGTGAATATTCCACTTGAGAAAGTACGGAGGACAATTTGGCTCAGCATTTGTGCTTTTTTATTCTTTTTTTCTTTCGAGTCCCTCCCTTTGTGTGCCAAAAGCTGATTGGAGGCTGTTGGTTATTTTTCACAGGATGTGTGCGTGTGTTTGCGCGTATGTGCGTGCACTTGTGTGTGTGTGTGTGTGAGAGAGAGAGTGTGCGCTTGCAGTAGAAAGTGAGGTCTGAAGCGAGGCAGATGGCGGCAGATGGGCGAGGTTGGAGGAAGGTGCTCGGAAAAAACCTGGAAATCTACACCAGCGCCCGCCCGCTCGCTGCTCTGCTTCGCCCGCCCGCGTGTAAAAATAACACAGTTTGCTCGGAGCCAAGAAACAGCGATGCAAAGTAGCCCGGGATTAAAAAAGAGAAGAAAAAAAGGTGGTGGTGGAGCTGGGGCTGGGGGTGTTGGAGGAGGTGGGGGCTGGAGACAGTGGAGATGAAGATATTTCAGGGTTACAGCAGTGAAATCCACTCACTTCCTGTGTTTGCTGTGATGGGGACGAGTGGGGGGTGTGAGGGTATTTGTATGTAGTGGACTGGTGTGTGTGTGTGTGTGTGCTGGGTGCCACACTGGGTGGAGTAGATGTTCCTGGGCTCAGAATCAGAAGTTTTTTCTTTGTTCAAGTCAACGTTAAAGAAACAGTGGAGTTGACATTAGGACGAACCCGTGCATTGTAAATCGTAAAAAAAAATACAAATGGCTAAAAAAATCATTGTAAATCGTAAAAAAAAAAAAAAATACAAATGGCTAAAAAAAATTGTATCGGTTGAAAAAATAAAATGAAATCGTACATCAAAGTGTAAAGAGTAGACTGCGTTATCTAAAAAAGTCACTGGTCATACCATGACACTACACCCTCCAGTACAGTAGGTGGCAGCGTGCTCCTAAAAACGTTGATCGTGACCCACTATTAAACCCAGAGGTCAGGTCCCTACGTAGGCTGAGTGACATTCAGGTGTTGAAACAGAACGTGGGAAGAACTTGTTCCACAGACACCAACAGAGTTTTCCAGAGTTCCTGTAAAGAAAGGAACTCTTTCCAGTTCCTATTTTTTCCTCTTCTCTTGTTTTTTCATACATTGACAGTTAACCAGGTCAATAATGGATTTGGTCATAGTTTGTCTGGAGCTCATTTGGTTTAAAAAAAAAAATCTAAAATATTTCAAATTAAAAAAAAAGGAGCTCATTTGGTTTAAAAAAAAAATCTAAAATATTTCGAATTAAAAAAGAAAGTATCGTGAGTTGAGTGTATCGTTACATCCCTCATCGTCAGTAGAATCGTCAGTCGACCAGAGTCGGCAGCTGACTGATGGACCAGGATCAGAGGAAACACATGGAGGTTTCTTTTCTGTTGTCATTGTTTTTTCTCATATTTTCTTGTGTTTGACACATTTTCTCGTGGCCACGTGTCTGTGTTGAAGGTGTTGAAGAGGCAGAGTTTGGATCGCTGCACCGTTTGGTCTGTTTGTTTTGGATTTTGCTGCATGTTTGGTATGTTGGACTTTGTGTCCTTTCCTTTTGTTCTGAAACATATTTAGTCGTCGGTACAACAACACACACTGTCTGTTTGTGTGAGTGTGTACATGTACATGTTCTTTTTTCTCCTCTTGTCATTTATTTTGTTTCCATTTTTTATTGTCTTTCTTTTTCCTCTTTCCTCTGATGTGGTGATCATGTGATTATTGATCAGGCAGTCTTCAGGGACACCTACTCCACACCAGCTCTGGTTTTCTTGCCTCCTCATCACGACGTTTCTAACTGATCCAGTTTGACTGCTGTTGTTCAGATGGACCTGTGTTCTTATAGGCTCAGCTGGTCAGCTGACTGACACTCTGGTCAGGTGGTCACATGACCAGAGAGCTGTCACCCTGTGGTTCACTTTATGATGGATTCAGAAACACTTCTCCTTTTCTCTGCTCTATACTCTGGACTTTTCCTTGAATGCACACACACACACGCACACACACACGCACACACACACACATCCTCTCTGCCCTGGGCTGTGGGGCAACATTCTGGCTCAACGTGAACTAATCTGCTCCCTGCCTGCAACCGAGCTGCCACCTTTTTATTGGTACGAGGACATTGAGTCACACACACACACACATACACACACCTTTTTCCATGTCTGTACTGTAACATCCATCAGTGGTCTTAGTGTTTTCACTTCTGTGTGTGTGTGTGTGTGTGTGTGTGTGTGTGTGTCGTCAGGCTGCAGGGACAGAAACCACTCCTACTTTGCCTGATTCTAAAAACTTTATAAATTTGATGAGATGGGATAAATATTCCATCTGCCGTGTGTGTGTTTTTGTGTGTGTGTGTGTGTGTGAGAGAGAGAGAGAGAACATTTTCCCAGCAGTCTTAGCCAGTGTTGTCCATCCGTCAGTAGAATATCTGGAGCTGGTGGTTTTTCTCATTCCCACTGCTGTTCTCTGCAGCTGCCACCAGGGTGACCAGCTGAACACACACACACACACACACACACACACTCCCTTGAGTGGTGATGATGTCGTTGTGACTCTGATCTCCTCCTTCACCTCCTCCTCTGTCCTGAACCACCTCCCCCCAGACCTCCCACCCTTCTGTAACTCCTCCGCTCCGTCACACAGTCGCTCTGTTGGTATTTGTCTGTACTTAGTGTCAGTGTTTGTGGAAACCGTAGCTGGTCTTATCCTCTGTGGAGACCCAGAAGAATGTAGACAAAAAAAAAACTGTTAAACCTTCGTCAAAGTCACCGATCGTTGGTGTTTACTTACTTAAAAATACTGTTTCACAGCAGTAAAACATGTTGGAGAGAGAGAGTGTGTGTGTGTGTTTTCACGTGCACGTGCTCACCTCCACGTCCGCCTGCTCTATTATTAACAGCCAGTGAGATGATGTTTTATTTTTATTATTATTTTTATCTTTGAGTCTCGAACATATGCTGTTCTGGCTGCTGTCCAACACGGTCTGTCTGTCAAACACACGCAGACTTTTTTTATTGTGTTAATGAGGACTCCAGCAGCTTCTGAAACGCAGTAACTTTTCTCCCTGGTTCTGATGAGAACTTCAGACCTGACCAGTAGATCACAGATAGAAATGATGAAGGAGTGACTGGAGGAGAGGACGGTTCAGAACCAGTACCTGTGTGTGTGACATCCCCACTGTACCAGAGGCCTCTCCTCGTACTGTCTCCTCTGCGTATTTACAGTGTGTGTGTGTGTGTGTTTGTTCCACTGCCTTACTATCCGCAGCAGCTTCACTTAAACAACTTTCTTTTTTTTTAATCCCCCCCTGAGCAAAAACAGCATATTGACTCCTCTTCTCCGTTTCTCCTCGCTCATCTGTCTCCTCACTGAGGACCTTGGGCTGTTGTCTGTGTGCTCCAATAAAAGGACGAGGAGAAGAAAAGCAGATGTCCAATAAAACAAATGGCTCCATTTACAGAAAAGCAGAAGTTGCATATCTGAGTTTTTTTTTTTTCCTCCTCTCTTCTCCTCACTTCTCCTCCTCTCCCCTCCCCACAGGTCCTGGAGGACAACGACTACGGTCGGGCGGTGGACTGGTGGGGTCTGGGTGTGGTGACCTATGAGATGATGTGTGGCCGGTTGCCGTTCTACAACCAGGACCATGAGAAGCTGTTTGAGCTCATCCTGATGGAGGACATCAAGTTCCCGCGCACTCTGTCTGCAGACGCCAAGTCGCTGCTGTCCGGTCTGCTCATCAAAGACCCCAACAAACGGTGGGTTTGGGGGCAGAGGACCGGAGCTCTGTACTCCATCTGTGGTGTCGTCAGGAACAGCAGAGTCTTTTCTTTTAACTGTAAACTCAAGTGAACGTTGAATCTTCTCCTCCTTCCGTGTAGCCTGGGTGGAGGACCAGACGACGCTAAAGAAATCATGAGACACAGTTTCTTCTCTGGTGTGGACTGGCAGAACGTCTATGAGAAGAAGGTACCACAGCAGAGCAGTCTCTGGATCAGAGCAGTTGAGTTCAGTTTCTCTGGTGGATCTCAGTCAGAACATCAGGCAGCTGAGGGAGGAGGAAGTTCTTGGTGGTGGAAACATTTTTTTTTTTTAATCTCATAGGAACCACACCTGTTGCAGTGTGAAATCAATAAAGTTGAAATTATTCTTATAAATTATGATTAATAAATAAATTTGTCTGAGCATCAGAATTATCAGAAATACAAGCCAGGAATAAACTTAAAAATATTAATTGTATTTACAATTTAATTATTACTTTTTAAACTCTAAATTCTGTTATTCTACTTACTGTTCATCTGATGTCTCTGATTACTGATCATTCTCCCCCCTCCTGGACTCACCCTCACCTCTCTGCCCCCTCCCACAGCTGGTCCCTCCCTTCAAGCCTCAGGTGATGTCAGAGACAGACACCAGATACTTTGATGAGGAGTTCACAGCCCAGACAATCACCATCACTCCACCAGAGAAATGTGAGTCTGTGTCACTTCAACATGAAAACAAGTTCCTGAACAAATCTCCGAAAAAAACGTTTCTCAAAAATGACTAAAAATACACTCATTTGTCTTAAAATACTTAGCTATGTCCATTTCTGTTGTTAAAATTCAGAAAAAATATACTTTTTTGGTACGTCAACTTAGTTGACACTTAGTCGATGGCCATGTTGTTGTTCAGTTGTTGTTCAGTTGTTCTTCGTTTGTTCTTCAGTTGTTCTTCGTTTGTTCTTCAGTTTTTCTTCAGTGGGTTTTCAGTTGTTCGTCACTTGGTCGACATATAATCGACACTTAGTCGAGATTTTGGTCGCACTCCTTTGTCTTAAAATACGTAGCTATGTCC